AATGACAGTGCTTCTTCCCCTCTGACTACAGATGCTGACTACAGTCAGCCAGGTGGCCTTGCTGCTCAGACATTGACATGTGGCTTCTCACCTTCACTTTTGGTCAGACCAGCTAATTCCATAGACATTGACATGTGGCTTCTCTCCTTCACTTTTGGTCAGACCAACTAATTCCATACTCATGCATTAATAATTGGTATTGTGTATTTTCCAGTCTTTGTCGCCATAGCACCCTTTGCATTGGGATCTTTCCCCTCCACCATGAAACTCCTGGGAATTCCTGTGCTCTTTTTAAGTCTGGGAACAGACTCAAAATTACTCTCCTGTAAGGAAAAGAAATGCAGACATAGCTCATCTTAAGACCCACACTTAAAATGACATTTCAACCAGTATTTTAGGGAGCAAAAGCCTTTAATCCTCTCCTTTTACCTAGCCTAAGGGTCACCCGATTGAAATACTCATTTTCCTAAATGAATAGAGCCAGGATGCTCCAAAGGCTTGAGCAGTGTTTTGAACTCAGTCAACATCCTTTTGGCTTAACTTCAGGATCCTTAAGGGTGAAATATCCCTTAGCTCACCATCCCCTCAGAGAAGAGGCACAAACCCTCTCCTCCTCCAAAGCGCAGTTCAGAGGGAGAGCTTAATGCAGGGCTTTGAATCGGCCACTGGGAAAACTGATAGTCACCATCTGCAGATGAAAGTTGCACCAGGGATGGTTTAGACTAGATGTTAGGAAGTATTTCTTTACAGAACGGGTTGTTAGGCGGTGGAACGGGCTGCCCAGGAGGTGGTGGAGTCCCCATCCCTGGAGGTGTTTAAGAGTAGGGTCGACGTAGCGCTGAGGGATACAGTGTAGTTGGGAACTGTCAGTGCCAGGTTAATGGTCGGACTGGATGATCTTCAAGGTCCTTTCCAACCTAGCTGATTCCCTGAATTCATAGCTCATGCATGTACGTTCAATGAGTGCGGGAGAGCTGAGCATGCACACGACCAATGTGATCAAGCAATGCCCGTTTATTACAACTAAGAAAGCCCTTTTATAATGTTCTCCTGCACACGTGAGTAACATGCAGTACAAGTCCTCAAGATTGGACAGTCAACTTAGCCCGTGCTTTAAACCTTCTTATGACTGGATGAAAAGTGCCACATCAGCCTTGCCAGGCTTCCTGCCTTGTGTAACTTCCTCTTCCATCCCAAACCCTTCCGGGGGTTGTTTGTCTCGTCAAGTTTCTCCCCCCTCATTCAGGGTCACATCCTTATCGCGTTCTTGCTCGGCTGAGGCTCTTACCAGTCTTGTTCTCACACAGGATTGCTCACATGTCCATTCTCTCGCAAAAAGTCCTCTAGAATCCCAACAAGTGAGTAACGTTAAATGGCATGAATACTCAACCAGAGACTTGTGTAATTACAACACGCAAGTATTCAATAGATGGGGTCAAGAGAAACGTCATCTTTTTCTACAAAATACTAAAACTGCAAACTGTCATTAAAAAGAGTAGAGAAAAAAATGCAGTAACATTGAAACATATATAAATATGCATTAAAGTTCACAGAGAAAGATCTATGGACATATGTAATGTCTACGACCTTGAAGAAAGAAGATTTGCCATTGAAAATTCCAGCTTTCCCTGGAATTTTGAAGGGCTTTGCACCACTGCCATATAACCTCTGTATTTCAGCCCAAGAGAAACAATTCCCAATAGGAGTATTCATGTAATTGCTGTGTAACTGCCAAGGTAAAACAATTAAAAACCAAGTGACACAAGAAGTCCCCCACAATCTTACCCCATCTATTGGGCAGTTCTTTATTATAGTGGCCACGTTTTCCACAGTAAAAGCAAGTATATGACGGTGGAGGTGGACCCAACAGTTTCTTCATGCAACTAGAATTTTTTGGGGAAAAAAAGAAAATGTTATGTATGCGTTTCTTTCGTTCAAACAACCATCTCTACAATGTTTCCAGAGTCTTCAAAGAACAGATAGGACTTTGTCAACACTTACTTGATTGGATCATATTGTTGGTGAGACTGTATCACCATAGCTTGTATTTTATCTTCTTCAGAAGCATTGGCTTCAGCTAGATTGCCAGTCTGTTTGACACGTAATTATTGAACGCGAAGATTAGGAACACATTTTAAGTTCCCACAGCCTAAGGGTCACCCAACCCTGTAAAAAGCAGCCCAGCAGTAGCTGAGTTTGCATGAAAGCAGCTGCTTATATGAGCCAGAGTTGTCCCAGAGATGTTCTGGGGAGCCCTTACGCCATCGCATGGTGAATCTGTGCCTGTTAACCTGCTTGGAAGGAGCATTCTTGGTCACTCAAAACCTAAGGCTCTGTTTTACCTTACATAAAGGCTTGTATAACCAATCCAAATGTCTTCCAAGTAGACTGAAGCTCTGTGTAGAAAAAATTACATTACCCAGGGTTTTTAAACGGATTCTTGAGCTCTGGAGTATTTGAAGGAGAAAATCTCTGCTGTACATTTAATTGAGAGACATGTAGGCAAGTATCATTGTGCAGTGTTGAAAGGACATAGAACTTAAGAGTGGGGGAAGTTTCTTTTTCTCGCTGAAATTCAGCTTCAGACACAGAAGCATTAAGAGGAATCGAGCTTTTTATAATTCCTCAGCAAGTCAAAAGTTTATTTTCAGTAGAAATTTGCCCATTGTGTGCTGTAGGCAGCCCAAACTGCATGTCCCCTGCCTACTCACTTCTTCACGTTATGTGATTTATCTATGGTCAGCACAACCTGCAGTTTTTTTCCTGTTTGATATGTCCTTCTAACACACAAATTGTAATAGAAACCTTATGCAGAACTAGATCTTTAAATTATCGAAGCCAGCTGATTTCTTATAAGTAGAATTTGTTCAAATGTTCTCATTACACACTAGTCCAGATACCAGCAGTGTCTAAGGGAGGGATGTAAAGGATACTATCTTTCAAGCACCCATCATTCAGAGCAACCACTCATGGTTTTGATTTTATATGCATTCATTTGCAAAAGCAACCAACTAGTTTCAACAGTTTATTAAATGGTTATTTCAGACACAACAGTGACATAATCCAGATCAACATCTATGAAAGCCCTTCCATTAACGTTTACAGAAAATTTACAGATACTTGACTAATTTGTTTAAACCCAAGCAGTTTACAAGACACATCCAAAATCCATAAAGCATTACTAGGCAAGAGGGGACAGAGGAGCCCAGATGATGTTGCCGAAGCGCCAAATAAGAGAGGAGGCATTTTTATTGGGGTTTTTTTTTGTGGGGTTTTTTTCCACTGTTTGGGGTTTTTTTAATGGTTTATTGACCAGTCTTGAAAAGAACACCTAATAAAGTAGCTAGAAGGGACCTTAAGGATGAAGTCCAGCAATTCCTCCTAGAGAACTGCAGTCTTCTGCTTTTCCGAAGCAACAGCTGTCTCTCTAATGTCTTTGCACGGTCTGTGGTTACTCTTTGTGCACTACCATGGAGTGCCTGGCTTCATCTTCAAGAAGGTCTTGGTCTTCTAAGACTTTAGACACCCAGAGGAGAGAGAGAGATGCAATGAATGCCTTTGGTCAGGGTGGAGCTTCTCAGCCTCAAAGCGTAATTCAGCCTTTCTAGGCTTCTCCTGGAACAGGGAGGTAAAGGGAAATGCAAGGGCTGGCCTGCTGTTGGTTTGGTCTTTCACATAATCATCTAGGTTGGAAAAGACCTTGAAGATCACCTAGTCCCACCATTAACCCAATACTGACAGTTCCCAACTACACCAGATACCTCAGCACTATGTCAACCCAACTCTTAAATACCTCCCCCCATGGGGACTCCACCACCTCCCTGGGCAGCCCATTCCAACGCCTAACAACCCCTTCTGGAAAGAAATACGTCCTACTATCTAGTCTAAACCTTCCCTAGCACAACTTGAGGCCATTCCCTCTTGTCCTATCACTTGTTACTTTGTTGAAGAGACTCACCTCCAGCTCTCTGCACCCTCCTTTCAGGTAGCTGTAGAGGGCGATGAGGTCTCCCCTCAGCCTCCTCTTCTCCAGACTAAACCCCCCCAGTTCCCTCAGCCGCTCCCCGTACGACCTGTGCTCCAGACCCTGCACCAGCTGCGTTGCCCTTCTCTGGACACGCTTCTTTGCCCTTCTTTGGCAGCGGCAGGCTCGACGGCCGGTACCAGCCACCTCCCCGTGCAGAAGGAAGGAGGCCTTAAAAGATGGCTGGCCGCCCTCCTTGCGCGGTTCCTTATCCCAGAAAGCGGCGGGGAGCAGCCGCCCCAAGCGTTGCCCTTGGCGGAGTCCCAGGCCCGGGGCCGC